CAGAGAGCAAACGTGGGTGGACTCCTACATTACATCTCCCCTGTTCAAACCAACAAGGGGAAATGTTGCTGCTAGTCCTATCTGTATATGATGGGCTGGAAAAATACCATCAGAATAATGGACATGAGGCAAAAATTTAAGGCGATAACAAAAATAAGAGTGTTTCTATTTTCTGTTAAGTGTATGTACTAATGTTCTGGAATTCACTATAAGAAGTTGTAAATGGTGCATGAAATGAAAAATTCCTGTGGTCTCTGGGGAATGCAGACAGTGTTGCCTTCTACTCCTGCTGGCTGGCTTCTTTGGACTATTTTCTCTATTCCAACTTAAATAAGAAAACATCTTTTTAATTAAATGTGGCTGGATCATCTTGACAGCAGAATGCACCGGGTTAATGATTATTTTAATACTTGATAGGCTCTCTCAACTTCTTGGAACTTGGGATCCTTTTGAATTTAGAAACACAGCCGACAGCCACCACCCACTCAAGTTGATGTCAGGGGTTTGTGTGTTGCTATTTCCCTTGTTTTATTTGCTTTCTTTTCCTCACTTATTCAGAAAGCATCTTTCAGAGTTAATGAGTTGAAAGCATGGTAAACAGTATACAGGTATTTTAGAAATTCACAAGATGATCTCCGTGTGCATTAGGCCTGTGAACTATGGGGAGGTCCTGTGTCCCCAGTGTTTGGCCCAGCGGCCTAGGAAAAGACAGGCCAGAGATGGGAGCGACCTGCTTCAAGTTCGGACTCTACAGAGAGTCAGTGCCCAGCTCCCCAGAGAGATTTATTAACACTCCTGATGTCTACATTGCTAATCAATAGCAGATCCAGACAGCCTACTTTTACCAGTCTAACCTGTTAGTGAGGAGCCCTGGAGGCCTAGAATTTAAAATGCTTAATTGCTAAACTCACTGTCAGTGGTTCAAATCCACCAGCCACTCTGAGGTAGAAGAATGAAGCTGTCTCCCTCTGTAAGGGCTTGCAGGCTTGGAAATCCCATGGGGCAGTTCTCCTCTGAGCACTTCACATGTTTTTCTCATATGGTCAGTGATAGGATAGGACCTGCTGGAACATCACAAAGCAAAAAGAAGGTGTTAGGAAAATATTATGATGCCAAAAATTTCTATAGCATTCATGCATTCAAATCAGCCATGATTCTTGGTGTATCTTTGTAAAGAGAAATCCTTCGAGTGTGTTAATTCTTTTTAGAAGATGCTCTTAGTATGGCTTGTATTTTACTGCAGCTTTCCCTTGCCTGGATGATTTGAGCATTGTATCATTATTTGTTTTCTCCTGAATCAGTGCATTCCCTGTACTATTGTTTAATATTTAATGCTGTCAAGTTTGGCCTCATCCTCAGCAACAGTATCCGTGCCATTGTAAACTGCAAGGGGTAATTTTTTATAGGTATGTATTTCTGGTTCATTAGAGCTCATAAATATTTTTTCATAAACTTGCCTCTATGCCAATTAAAACCATCCGCTGGATCACCAAGGGCATGCAGGCTGGCACACAGAATGGGTGGCGAGGATAAAGTCTGAACGGGGCCTGAGTTGTTGCAGGTAGAAGAACTGCTGTCGTCGGTCTTCTGCTGAGTCCTGAGTGGTGGCATGCCGCCGAGTCGAGCCGCACTCACAGTCCCCCTGCATGTAGCAGGCGCAGCACTGCCCTTCGGCCTCCGGGCACCGTCTCCGCTGTGCTTCAGTCGCCATGGCAGCCACTGTGCCAATCCGTCTCCCTTTGTCGTCCTCAGCCTCCTCTCCGACTCTCTGCTGACCAAGATTGACGTCTTCATCCATAAGTCAGGGCTGATTATGTAAGCGGGGATCCACCTTGAGAGTCTAGTAGAAATTGCTTTCCTTCCTTTTTGTCAGGAAAAAGGGCAACAGAACCGTGAGTCAGACTGAGGCGGCAGTGCTCAAAGATGCTTATACTCTTCCTGTTGAGCATCGGAATATTTCAAATAGTGTGGATTCTTGCAACTCCATTGAGAAATGCTCTAGACCCTGCAGCGTTCTTTTACTTTCTAAGGAGAAATTGGAAAGAACTTCTCTTTTGATAATGTTTCTCTTCGCTTGTTCTTTCATCAAGTTCTGAAGCGAAGTCCTCACAAGTTGAAATTGTCTTCAAGTTCTGAGATTTCTCTATATAGTGGGAAAAAGCTTCCTTTATTTCTGGGAACATGATAAAAGATTTACATATTTCTCTGTAATCCTGTCCCATTGCTATGGCGACACTTGTTCTAACTCCCTCGTTGCCATAGCTGACCCTGGAGTGGATTTCCAAGACAGTCAATTGTACAAGAGAGGGTTGCCTGTCTTTCTCCTGAGGAGGGTTGTGTTTTCCTCTTCTAACTGAACTCCTGGGCACAAAGACACATTCATTGATTACAAAGAATGTAAATGGCCTCTGGGTCCATCTCACAAATTGAAATGGAGTTAGGGTTCCACTGCTGATTTTAAGCTGTAACACCCCCCACCCCCAATTGGTGCTGTATTCTTTTGTAGCGGAGGGAATTACTCACAAGAAGGAAAAAATTGGCCCACTAAAATGCTGACTGATCACATCAGCTTTGGTTGGGAACGATCCTAGTTTTTCTTTTCCATCTATCTTTACAGTTTGAACTTTCCTTTTGATATTCTGTAAATATTCATCATCTCAGAACCTTTTGAATTGCCTTCTCTTTTAGTCAAAACTGAGCAAAATGTGCCATTTGAATAATAAAGACCTCATTAAAGTGAGGGGAAAGGAATGCTTTTTCTTTTTGTACAAGCCAATTAAGTGTCTTTACAATTAAAAAAGAAAAAGTCAAGCACTTTATAGTTTCATATTCCATAAGCCTGTTTTTAATTAATAGAGGTGACAGGTTTTAGGTGCAGGGTACATATTCCCCCTCTGGTGTTGTGCAATTAACAGTAATGAAGGACATTAAAATTTGGTGCGAGAGGAGAGTTTTCCAGGTCCTTTGTGGGTGCATGCCTGTGAGCCAAGGTCTCTGGTAACAAGTTGCTTTGTTTGATGTGGTGTGTATTTCGTGGAGAAAATGTGCAGGTAAGGATAAAGTTAACTGCAAGAGGTGTTGCTGAGAGGCATGGTAGAGGAACCTCAAATGCCCACCCAGCTGCCATAATTCCTGAGGGCTATTATAACAAGTCATCGCAGACATGGTGACCCCAAATAACAGAACCATGTTCTTCCAGAGGTCAGAAGTCCAAAGTCAAGGTGTCAGCAAGGTGGTTGGTTCCTTCTGGGAAGTTTGGAGAGAAATAGTTCTCTCCCAGCTTTTGGAGTCTGCTAGCAGCCCTGGTATTCCTTGACTCATAGACACATCATTCTTACATCTGCATCCTTCATTACATTGCTTTATTTTTTTTATCTTCTAACATCACTTGCCTTCAGATTTAGGGTTCACCTTAAGCCCAGTGGCCTAACTTGTAGGGAGCTGCACTGCTAACCCATAGGCCATACCTCTCTGGTCATTCAAATTCACCAGCAGCTCTTTGAGACAAGGATGGACAGTCTTCTTCCATGTGATTTACAGCCTGGAAACAACCACGGGGAGTCTTCAAGTTGGTTCAAACTTTAATGGAATTGGACCTAAGTCAACTCAGTTACATTTGCAGACCGTCACGTTATTCAGTGGAAGTAAGGCCACGTTTACAGGTTTCTGAAGGACCTGTCTTTTGGAGCCCGCCATGCATCCCAGTACAAAAGCAATGGCATGTTATCTTGTCTAGTACTGCTGTAACAGAAATGCCCCAAGCAGGTTACTTTAATAAACAGATTTCTTTGCTCATAGTTGAAGAGGTTAGAAGTTTAAATTGAAGGTACTAGTCCCAGAATGCAGCTTCCTCTTTCTCTCTGGGCTCTGGAGAAAGGTCTTGCCTCTTCAGCTTTGCTTTTTTGCTTGGTTCCTTGGAGATCTCTGGTGACATCTGTCTTCATCTACCTGTCCTTTCTTAATCTGCTCTGTTACATTGCAAAAGAGATTGATCTAAGATTCAGTGAACACTAATACTGCCAGATTAACATAACAAAGAAAGCCTCTTCTCAAAGTGGGAAATTCCCTATAATGTGGAATTAAAACCACAGGTATAGGGTTAGGATTTACATCATATGTTTTTCAAAGATAGTTCAGTTTGTATCTTCCAAAAACTAATGCTGGGGATTCAGTTCCTAACACAATGTTCTGTACAAATGTCCATTTCACCTACAGACCACTCCCTAGACTCATTAACTGGCTAGAGGTTGGTCTGCTTTTTATTATAACCATGCACTATCAGTTGTAAGCAGTGTCACTGATAAATGTATCTTCCCTCTCTGAGTTCTCCTCCTCCGTAGTCCGTTGCTTGACATGAATTCCTGAGTCAAACAATGGGGAACTTTCCTTTCTCTTAATATATTTCAGTTTAGTAGTCAAGATGCAGGATATACAATACTACCATTTGTATGTTGTAGCTTTGTACCGTTCGGTTAGAATTGACTCATAGCTGACCCTCCAGTGGGTTTTCAGGGGCAATAAATTGCCTGAGAGGAGATTGCCCATCTTTGTCCCACACAACAGCTAGAGGATTCCAACCACATGCCTTTGTGTTGGCAGCATAACCCCTTACTAGTCACTACACAAACCAGGGCTGCTCATCTATTCAGAAAGTGAGCCATTGAAAACACTGTGGTGTACACTTCTTCTCTGACACACCTGGGCCCCCATGAGTCAGGACCAATTCAACAGCAGTTGGTTTTGGTTCATCCTGCTTTTAACAATGAAAGCCTCCAGTCATCTGCCCCACCCCACCTTCTGCTGCCTTTCTGTCCACCTCAAGCCCCAGGGCTTCCCCACCAAGTCTTCCCCACGGCTCCATCATGGTGGCTGAAGAAGTGACACGTGAGGGCACCTCTTTCTGACTGGCCTCGTGCAGGCAGTGAAGGGTGGTTATTCTGGACGGTATTCACGATGTTGAATACACTCATGCCACTCAAGCTTCTTTCTTTCTTTTTCAGGCCCCTTCATGTACTTGTGTGCAACGCAGCTGTGTTCGCTCTGCCTTGGGGTCTCACCAAAGACGGTCTAGAGACCACCTTCCAAGTGAATCACCTGGGACACTTCTACCTTGTCCAGCTCCTCCAGGATGTCCTCTGTCACTCGGCCCCAGCCCGTGTCGTTGTGGTCTCCTCGGAATCCCACCGGTGAGTTAGAGTTCAATGTCCTGTGACTGCACCAGCTAATAATCTCCCATGGTGCTTTTACCAGAAAAGTGTGGGTATTCTATCTGATTTCCCCTGTTGGTGTTTTATTGTAATTTTTCTTTTGTGGGTATGGGGCACTGTTGGGGGAACTTGTTTATGACAATGTAGATTCTTGGGTGTGTTGTTTTGTTGTTGGTTTTTTTTCCTTCACAACTGTACTTCAAGCCCCTCATTGATTTTGCTTAGAGATGGAATAATAATTGATTAAATCTGAATGGCATGACCTTTATTGATTTGTCATTCACCAACTTCAACATGGTACCAAGAAGAATGTGCAGTTATTCTAGCAGAAGAAACAATGCAATTAAAGACGGCAAGATGAAATCCAATTGTTTGATAATGAGAAATTAGGGAATTCAATGCAGACATTAGCTGTGTAATTGTAGCAAGGGAAGTACTGTAGTTAGAATGTATTAGAAATCTGGCCTCTTTTGGTTAAAATGTCAATTAAAACATCAGATGGCTCTTCTTTTCCATCACCATTAGGAGAATATTCAGTGGGCTAAAAAGATTTCATCGTATTTTCAGCATATTTTATCCTAGAGTTGGATAAACATCTATTTGTCTAAAGAGAAGTATTTGGCAAAGACCGAGAGCTTGCTGGGTGAGGCTAGATTTGATAAGAGGTGGGGAAACGGTGCATTCTTGTTCTCCTGGTGGTGTTGGGGTGGGCAGTAGCGACTTTGCTTAGCTAAGTAGCTGGGGGCAGGGGGGAGGGAATCATGTGCATTTGGAAGACAGTCTGTCTCGCCCCTCCTTTTCCATCTTAAGTCCTGAAATGTTTTAGTGACCTAGAATGAAGCTTATTTTTTTAATCACACTTTCATAAAGTGTAACCCCTGGGACCGAGGAGAGAGAGCCCAGCCAAGGGTTAGCCTGAACCCTTTATCACTCCCAAACACAGGGGCTTATGGTCTAAGTGACACGCGGCAGATAGCTGTACTTTGACCATTTTAAATTTATGATGGTCGAAATGAAAGGGAAACGCCGGTAATAAGCTGCCCCCGCTCCCAGAAACATCTTATAATTAGGGGGAACAAAATCATGGCTTCTCTATCTTTGCAAATCACACCAGGCTTGCGAGAGGGAATGGAGTGGCCCTGCCCAGGAGTGATGAGGCGACTGTGGGGGCAGGCCCTGGAGAGAGGGTCCAGAAATAAATCTGCCAGCCCCAATCACTTGCCAGATGTGGAGGGCACCACGGGATGTGTTTAAATGAGCTGGTATTTAATGGGAGATTATGTTGAACTGTCAGCTGCACGCTTCCCTTGGTGGATCTGTATTTCATGTGGCGTCTTTGTTCTTCCCTTAATGGCAGTGTGATGCGGGCCTACCTTGGAGAAGTGAAACTTAATTTCATCTAAAAGTTGCATTTGGAAGGAAGGGAGGACCTCTCTCTTTTGCATGGGATTTGTTTTCCTTCCTACACAAGGCTTTCTCTAAATGGGTTATCGGACTAGCAACGAGGAGAAGCCTGGTACTTTCTTTTCCACTTTCTCGTTATTCTTTGCACGTATTAAAGGGCTCCTTGACCAAACGTGTTCACTCCCCTCAAGCTAGTTGTTTATTACGCTTGCACTGTGCCCCTGGCATCAGAGAGAGCATGGAGACTCGGAGAACAGTCTATGCAGACACTTCTCTCCATTCAAGGCCCAGGGCCCTAAACCAGGTTGTAAAATGGGAGTGTTGATATCTAATTACCTCCATAAACCTTGGTGGAATCTCTTAGCTGGAGTCAAGACCCCCTGTTAGGGGAAAAATAAAGTCCTATGTTTGCAGAAAATATTATACCAGACTGCCCCAAGGCAAAATATTTATTAGCCCTCTCCCTGCCTTCACTGTAGTTTAGTTACTGATGGAGGCGGTGCCAATGGATTGTGTTTCTGCATCCTGGAAAGGCAACATAATAAATTGAGACGTTGACTTCCTTGCTGTGAAGAATGTTCAGATAATAATTAAAATAAGATAAAGGATAGAGTGCTGGCTGAACCACTCTAAACAGCAATAGCTGTGCTGAGTTCCAGATTGCTGAACACACCCGCATGATGCACACATATGCACAGAGAGAAAGGAGAGGGAGATTCTGAAGCAAATCCACTTCTATTTTTGAACAGACTAGCTTTTGTCTGTGTAGGATCCAGCTTAATTATTTCAGTTTGATAATTAAGAAATCCTCAGTTAAAAAAAACCAAAATAAACATTACATATAGAAATACAAGCTGGGTGTCCCCTGGAATACATGAACATTTATGCCCACAGAGCAAATGCTAACACTTCAGTATTCTAGGGGGAATGATTCTGTCAAAGCCATATTGTTTGGAGTTTTTCTCTCTCCTTTTTTTTTTTTTTACAGCCTTACTCTTTAATGTTTTGATGTTAATGGCAAGTTATAAATTTGTTTTAAATAAAAAAATAAGTTTTCATTTTGTATTGGTTTACTTACAAAGTTAGTATACATTGTGTTTCACACTATTCTTCATTCACCTTGTTTCATACAATCATTCCCACTCATTATATTTTATAAAATTAATCAGCATTGAACTTCTCACAGAAGTTTGTCTTTTAATCACTCTTAAATTTGAAATCCTATCAGACAGCCTTGGAGACATTGGGTTGATTACTGCCTCCTGAGCCCTGGAGCCCCCTGAGACGTGAGCATAGTTGCACTTCAAGCAGCTGCCCCACCTGGCCTTGAAGGACGGGAGACCTAGCCTTCACTTTCAGCTCCCTGGAAGCCATTACAAGCTAATCAGATAGTAAAGATTTGTTTTCTGTCCTGCGGTTCTACAGGGCAGGCAGTCAAGGGTCTGCTTAGAGTCCAGAGGGAAGGCTAGCTTCATGGAGGGAGGAGCTTGTGTCCTGCCCTCTTAAAACTGCCTTTAACTTGGTTCCAGCCCATCTCATCAATCGGGAATGATTCTTCTCCTTTCATGAGCTCAGTCCACCTTGTGTTCCCACCAATGAAAGGATTATGCATTGTCCTTAAAATCTGTCAGGGAGCTCATTCAAAGCTCTAGAAAGTGCCACATGCACATATTAGTGAAGAGCACATTGGATTTGAACCTCGTGCTAAATTTTGTCTTTTCAGAAACAAGGCTTTTTCTAGAAGGGGAACTTAGTCCCTTCGTCTGGGAACTCTAAACCCCTCATCAAGCTTCTGTTGTTCTAAGGTTGTACTTAGTTCCTAAGGTGCATGAGGCACTGTCCTGGGCAGTGTGCTACACAGGTAGTGCTGGAACCAGATGACTGAATGGCTTGGGATCTGGTATGGGAGACGAAGCACAGGGACAGGCACAATGTACAGGAAAAACCTTGGATTTTGAGACTCCTTGTATTTCTGTTCAAGGAGGGATGAGACTGTAGACTGGGGGCTGAAAAGTGGATATCTAATTTCCATGGCAATATATTTTCATCTGATTTCTGTGGTGTCTTTTAATCTGTTCCCTACAGGCCACTCAAGAAACTATTGCGATAGGTGGCTGTGGGAGAGTGAGCTAGGGAGAGCTTCGTGAAAGAGGTGGACACTGAACTGGTTGAGCTAAACAAATTTAGCAAGGAGAATGCCTATTAAAACCAAACAATAGTGAAGCCTATAATGTGATCCGTAACACCAGAGAGGAATGAACTCTTTAAAACAAATAACCATACTAGTTAGAAAGGGCAGGGGGAAAGTGTGGAAGTCAGAAAAGGACAGAAAAGAAGGATGGAAACAGGAACTATAGGAATGAACTGCAAAGAGTGTGGCTACATTGCAGTGATGGTAGTCAATATCACAAGTCAAAATGTGGAGCAACAGTTCAGTGGAAACCCAGTTTGGTCTGTAACAACAACAACAACAACAACAACACAGAATTTGCATTAAAATTAATAAAAGTAAAGTCTTTTAGAAGAGGGACTTCTCAATAGCAGTTAAGGAAGGGAGGGCCAGGTGGGAGAAGAGATTGCAGACTCCGGTGGCCTAGTGGCAAGAAATTGCACTGCATCTGAAGGCATGTGATTTGAGATCACCAGCTGCTTCATGGGAGAAGGATGGGCAGTCTCCTCTTGAGCGATTGACTAACTGCCTCCAGAGGGTCAGCTAGGATACACAGCAGCCACCACCTCTGAGATGTGTTCTGAAGCCTCCAAGTTCTATCCCACCCCAAGCAGGTGCAGTTACCAAGCCATCATCTTGGATCCCCAAGTCGTCAGTGCAGTACCTCCTCTTTATAACTACTTCCTAATTCCACCACAATAAACTTCAAGACTCCTGTAACTCCTGGCACAACTATATGTTTAAATCCATGTGATAGTGTAACTCTACTATAATTCTTTAAAAAAAAAAATAATGTGACACAAAATGATGTAGAGTTGAAAGTAGCCCAGCTCAGGCAGGACTGCAGGGACCTTGTGTGACCTGAGTGAGCATCAGTGTGACATCATCATGAGCAGGTCGGACACACAGTCAGCTGGCAGGTGTGTAATGTTGCGGAATCGGATACCACCAGCCTGTGTTCAAGCCTCACCCTGCCCCCAAGACAAGACCTGAGAGCTCACGTGTTTCTTATTCTCAGTGCGTATTGTGGATGTTGTCTACCGTCGAGTCGAAACCGACCCCTAGCTGACCCTCTGGTGGATTTTAAGAGGCAGTTACCCACTTCCTAAACAACATGCCTCTGGAAGCCCTATGAACTTTGATAACTGTCCATAGCTCAAGAGGGACTTCATGCTCGACAACAACAACAACAAGAGTTGCATAGGAGGAGACTGCCCATCCTTCTCCTGCAGAACAGCTGGTGGCCTCGAACCTCATGCCTTCGGCATCGCAGCACAGCTTCTTGCCACTGAAACGGTTGATAATGGGCTTTTCATCTCTACAGATGTCAGCGGAAGCATCTTGGTGAAACAGGATGCCCACTTCCCCTGGACCCCACTGGCAGGCCTTATGACAGTCAGGAAAAGGTCTCCATACATTCCAGATTTCCCACTAAGTCTCTGCTCCCTTAAGGTGATTAAGCTCCGATGTGTGGGCTCTTCTGGTGCTTGGCAACTTGGGAATAGGCACCCACCAATTACTTTCAGTCTCATTGCCGAGCCCTTGATGACATTTCTGGCTGTCCCCTTTTGTTGATGACTTTAGAGCAGCGGTGTCATTTAACACTAGAAATTGGATGTCATGGACCGAGTCCTGGAGAAGGGATATTTGATTTCCATTAAAACATGAATTTCATCTGCCCCTGTGATGCTTTCCCCCCCACCCCCCATCTGAACCGCTTGTAATAAGAACAACCAGATTTCCCCCTAATTTTCTTGTATCCTTTGTTTTTTGGTCTGCTCCCCAGAGCCATTTTCTAGAATAGCCCCATCGTGCTTCCTTATTACCCATTACAAATACCCAGAGTGAACGTAATGACATAGAATCTGAGGGGTCTTTAACAAAGATGAACCCGTCTAGAACATGCCTTTTCTTCTGGGCACTTCCTACCATAGTATATTGGTTTTAGGGTTTTGTTGTTGTTGGTTTTTGTTTTTTTTTTAAAAAAGAGACAGAGAGAGAGTTGGGGTGGGGGGAGAGGAAAGAAACAAACAGCTGGTGTTTAACGACTCCGTCAGACCCAATTATAAAACATCAACTAGTTACTTTGATTTGTGGGTATCCATGCCAGGGGTATACTTAAAAACACTAGGCTTTGCCAGAACTCATTTTAGCTTTGTTTACATTTCTCTTTTAAGCACAGAAGACTAAGGATGGCACCTCACCAAGGTTATGACCCCTTTATAATCATTAATTTTTAATCTGGAAAAGAGGCTTGGAGGCAGCCCGACTCTTCTGTATTTACTTGGACGCTCCAGTGCGATTGCACACGACTCTGGCGTTAGCTGAAGTGATCAGGGACACCCCATCAAAGCTTAGGAATGTGTTATCTTTCAGCTTCCAAAAGCAGCAGCCTTTTATTTAAGATGCTTTTCTATTTTAACTGAATTAGCCTTGAACTTCCTGCCAGAGGTTTTGGTGGGGGGCGGGGTGGGGGGAGCCCCAAACATACATGGTGTAGGGATGGGTGGAATTCAACATATTAAAACAGCTAATACTCTGAGTTAAGGCCTTGCCCAACCAATCTTGAGACCCAGTTGGTTTATATATTTTTTTTGTTCTTGTTGCTATGTGCCATCAAGTCAGAACTAGCTCCTGGCTGGCTCACCCACAGGTTTTTTAGTGGCTGTAACTCACACTGGCGAATACTGCCTTTTTTCTCCTGCAGAGCAGCTGGTGGATTCGACCTGAGTGCCTTTGGGTTGGCAGGGCAACTCCTTTTTCGCTAGGCCACAAGAGTTCCCTTTATCTAGTTTAATCCCCATTCTCTGTTTTGAAAAGAGACTCTTTGTTTCTATATGCGTATGCATAATTGTCCTCTCATTTCTGATAAAAAAAGAACTCCAGTGCATGGTTGCTTCATGTAATAAGCATATGTCCTGTTTTTCAGATTCACAGACATTAACGATTCCTCAGGGAAACTTGACTTCAGCCGCCTTTCTCCATCCAAAAGCGACTACTGGGCCATGTTGGCGTATAACCGCTCCAAACTCTGCAACATCCTGTTCTCCAATGAGCTCCACCGCCGCCTGTCCCCACGTGGGGTCACGTCCAATGCCGTGCACCCCGGGAACATGATGTACTCCAACCTGCACCATAACTGGTGGGTGTACACGCTGCTTTTCACCCTGGCGCGGCCCTTCACCAAGTCCATGGTAAGAGAATGCTTTTCTTTTGGGCTGCCAAGCCTTTTACGCGCCACTGGGAAAGGATGACAGAGACACGGGGGTGGGGGAGAGGGTGTTTTCTCGCCTCTTGATATGATGAGTCTGATGAATCTGGTCTTGGCAGTTGTATCTTTGGGCCTGTTAGTGCTACGCATAAACTGTTCACCACATTGGCATCAGTATGAGGTTAAACCAGCTTCTCTGTGGATGGGTGTCTATAGGGCAGTAGTAGCTGTGGGTTTTTTTGTGTTGTGTGAAGTGCGACTGTGACAGCCTATTTTCTGTTGATGTGATATTTTGTTGTTGTTGTTCTGATTACAAAATTTTGAACATCCATTGGGTTGCTCAAAGTACAAGTATCCCCTCCTGACCTATAGCATTCTTCTAAAATCTTTTCTAAGCCAGAGCGACATAAAGCGAAAAACAATTATTCGTTTACCTGGGAAACTTTTTGGAACATTCCCAGGCCCCAAAATACTTTACCAAATAATACATGAAATCAAAGAGACACTCAGCAGTGTGTTCACAGGAGCAGCTCAAAGCGATGGTGGCTTCATGCTGATAAGCTGGGTATGAGTCTCGGGAAGAAACCACCACTCTGGTTGCTTGAGTTGAACAGTGCAGTTCTAATGGCTCATTACAAAACCATCACTGAACAATAGCATCAGTTTCCCCCCTCTAATTTAAAGAAACCTTTGTTTCTCATGGTTAGCAAAACGAAGTAGTAATAACCAAGCCCTCTCATCTGTGTGAAGGTGTGTAGAACAAGCCTTTGATGAGTGGGGGAAACCTGTACTTGGAAACTATGTTTTGCCTTAGTAGGTGAGAAAGGTAGCAGTGGGTGTGTCGTTATTGAATTATTCTCTAATGGAATTCCTTTGTTTTCAATGAGAATCTAGATCTCCTACAGCTGATGTTTTCAATGAGTGTACATCTTTCTGGAAAAATCCTTTGTTTGCCTGAGTACTGTTTTATACTTAATCTCCCCAAAGGTGAATCTTTTTGGCTGATTCGTATGACTGTGGTAATGTTTAGAATGGTTCGTACATGTAGATGTGATGCTTTTGCATTTTTGTTATTTTACAACTAAGGCTTGACTTCTCTTCTTTGATTTTTAAAAACTCATTTTAGTAGAAGTAAATTGAATGAGGAATAGAAATAATGAGTGTTGGGAATCTAGCCAAAAGAGCATTGAAATTGTGATAAAAGCAAAAAAGTCATGTTGGAGACTTAGGCGCACCTAACCTAAAACATGGTATTTTCCTTCACCTCATGTGGTTTGTGAAAGCTAAAACAACAACTTAGAAAGACTGAAGGTGAATTAATCAAATTGTTATAATTTGGTAAAATATTGAGTGTACCATGGATTCCCAGGATATTCCCATGATATTCCCATAATGAACAAGTCTGTCTTGGGAGATGTATAGTCCGGATGCGCCTTAAAAGAAAGTAGGGGAGGACAGAGAAGAAGGGGAGGAATTATGTCTACTGCCTTGCAACAGATGAGGGAGAGAACTGTTTAAAGGGATATGTGATTAGGTATTATTGTCATGACAAGAGTCCAGAATGAAGGCTGCATAGTCCAGTGGACTTGGAGAGAGGGATTGCATAGCAATGAAAGAGTTTTTCTTTTACTTATCAAGGAGAAAAGTGAATTGGCAGGGAGAGGGTGGGCAGGGAGAAAAGTGCAACAATGAATGACTGGAAACCCTAAGTCTCTGTAAATTTTCACTAAAATAAATTAATGGGAAAAAAAAAAAAAGAAAGTATGGTAAGACATCATGTCACTTGCTTCGGGTATGTTATCAGAAAGGCCCAGTCCCTGGAGAAGGACATCATGTTTCATGTAGCTGAGGGTCAGTGGAAAGAGGAAGACCCTCGAGGAGATAGATTAACATGATGGTGGCATCAGTGGGCTTACCTGGCCGCGGTTGTGAGGATGGTGTAGGACCTGGGCACCACATCAGAACCGCCCCTGCAGCACTCAGCAACACTGGGGATTTTACACGGCGGACTGGAAATACTCCTTTACTAATCCACGAGCTTTTATTAAATAATCAACGCCATTGTTCATTTTCTCCATAATGAACCCCAGTGTTCCAATGAATCTACTTCTCTAATCACTGAAATTTCCCCTCCAAACTCTTTGATCTTTAATGACCCTTCAAATCCCTGGGCAATTGGCAGTGGAGCTCCTGTCTTCTTGTCCTGCCCCCCTCACCCATTTACTGCCATGAACTGTCATGTGTGTGGGTGACTCTAAGCTATAACAAATATCTTTTGAACTACTTGAGAGAAATGTGTGTCTTCTATTCTAACCACTCTAAAAGATGGTTTTACTACAAATGAAAGAGATATTGCCTAAGCGTTGAATTCTTATGAGCAGAGGAGTTGAAAGTGGGGGCTTCTCTAGGTCCCAGGGTGGGGCTGGTGTCTCAGGAGTGAGTGGAGCCTGTGCACGTGGATGTCAGAGTCCTGCTGTCTGCACATCATTTGCTCTTGGAGATGGGGTGAGAGTGGGCTCTCTACGGCTCAGGCTCCATTAGGTATTTCAGTGTATGCGATGAGAAGAATCTGGACCCTACGCAGCTGTGAGTGGATGGAAAGAGGATTCTTTCTCCTCTCGTCTTGCATTGTGCATTCTAGACCAGGGGGTCAACCCCTGAAGCTAGCATGTCATCGATGGCTTCTTCTCACTTTTATTTGTTCGTTGCTAAGAGTCACGGACTCTTTCTATGACATTGGAGAGCTTTTTGTTTTTCCTCTTTAAGTATTTCCCTTATCTGACAAATGAGTTGGAATTGGTCCATGATGATAGTAAATGTGATGGTATTGTCACTGGGTGTGGGTTGTAGATAAGGGCTTATTGGCTGTTATTCTTCAACCTGACCTTAGGGTTCAGGACCTCTGGCAAAGGCATATGGGAGGGAAAGGGAGCCAGTGTCCAGTGAAGTGAAGTGAAGGTCAGGGGTTGTTTCTTGGAGAAGAGTCACTTGATTGAGTCACAGACAACAATCAAGAGATTCCTCCCCAAGAAACAAATAATATGAACTAACATAATAATCTGTAACACCGATGTGTCAAATGTGATAATGGTGACCCTTGGTGGACAGTGGTGGAGCTTCCCAGTTAAATCAAGCTTGGAAGCAGGAGTGGCATCCACTTCTGAAATAGTTTACCTCCGGAAACTATGAAAGTTATACAAGTGGTTCAGGTCTTTTGTTCATAGGGTCACCATGAGTCGTCTTTGACTTGATGGCACTTAACAACACAACAACAGTATAATAATATAAACTATTATGATGATTATGTGATGGTTCTTTGAACCTGAACTTGAAAGTTTTCTTTCAAAGAGGTACTGCAAATGAAGTTGGCCAGGTAACTAACTTTATAATAATAGTAGGCATTGCTGTTTTCGGTGTGAATGGGTGATGCCAAGTGGAAAATCAGAATGAGGACTTGGAGACTGAAGCAGAACACTGTTGTATAGACATGAAGGACAGGAAGTAAAAGTTAGGGCAGACTGCTCAGTAGGCATCCAAATGGACCAGTCAAGCCAGATGGGATGTGAGTCCTCAAAAGTCACCCTCTAACCTTGCTGGCCACCCCTGCTTCAGTCAGGAGAGCTTGAGCACGGCTGCAGTGACCATAGAACTCAATACGCTGAGCTAAGGGACTGAGGAAAACACCAGCTGTGAGACAAGGGCTGGCAATATGGTCTTAGGATAGAGGAGCATGGAGGAGTGAGTGTATAAATTTTGAAGAGTTTGGTAGAATTGGTGACTTTTCAGTTTTTAGTAAAGATGAATAGGGTGGGGAGGAGAGGAGACAAAGGGACTCAGTTCCCAGCCGTGGTGAGAATGAAGAAGTAGCAATGTGGGATAGTGGAGCAAGCAGTGCTCTGGTTAACGGCCAAGCCCTAGCCAGCCCTCACCCTTGAGAATCAGGAAAAGTCAGGCAAACCACTTACGTTCTCTACATCTGTCTCCTTACTGCTAAAATGACGCCTCAGGTTGGTGTGAAGATTGGCATGAACACTCTGTCCAATCAGATTTCTGCCCTGATTGTAACTGAACTATTTAAGTAGCAGCTCCTGGCCACATGGAGTTGTGGAGCCATCAAGATGAAGCAAAGGCCTGCAAAGTTCTATTTCATTGGTGTTAAGTAGCCACATGGGGATGCCATGGTGGAGAGTCCTGCTTTATGATGTATCCACAGTAATGCCCGAGTGTTAGACACACAGTGCATCTCACTCTGCTTCTTCTTGTTTGTTTGGTTATATGTAGCACTATGGTCCTGAAGGTAATTTTCCAGAAAGTAATGCTGGATTCAGCAAAGGCCACAGAGGTAGAGCATCTCTCATTTGGGATATTGGGGTTGCTGTGAATAAAGGTCTGTCCTGACTCTAAAGTTCCAGGAGGGAGATTGTTACTGTCAAGATTGGAAGAGTTCCCAGGTGGGAGGCGTCACCAGCCTTTACTCTGCTCCCCAGGTAACTTACCTCGTGGGTTGGGCTTTCCAAGTTCCTGTCACCAGAAGACTCAAAAGAACATTTTCTCTATATAAAAGAAGTTCTTTTTAAGATTAGTGTCTTTTTTAATATTGGCTGAACTCGTTGTCTTTGGCTCATCACTGACCCCCATTGGATTTCTGAGTCTGTAAATCACGTGGGAGAAGTTTACTCGTCGTTCTTCTGAGGAGTAGCTGGTGGGTTTGCACCTCCGGAGAGGCACAAAGGCATTGGGTAGCAGCCCAGCTTGTCGCTGACCACACCACTCGAGCTCTCTCGTTGTTTCACATAAGCATATAATGTAGGGAGGCCATGGATAGCTAGGCTTGATTTTTACGCGTGTTCTCTGACAGTGTCTTCAGGGATCTAAGTGTGCGGTGGTATTTCTTAGCCATGTGAGCCCTGTCCTGCTTGGTTTATAAAGGGGTTGAATGGTTGCGTTGTCACACTTGGCAGCCAGTCCCTTCTTTTCTATACA